AAAAAAATTAATGGAAAATATAACGTTATGGTAAAATTATCATTTCCTGATAATGCAACTTTTGGAATCATTACAAATGATTTCAAATATTTAGTTATTTGGGAGGAAAATAGAAATTGTTACTCTATATATGAAATCGAGTATTTTTTGGCTTGAATATCGCAAAATCATTATGAGGATAAATGTCTTTTATTATATATTTTTATAATTATCATATATAATATAATATGAAATCATTAAAATATTCTTACAAGAAATTCATTATTGAAGAATTGATATTATTTTATTACTTATTATTAATAAAAATAACATTGGTTTGGATTAATTTATTGAGAAAATATTTTAGAAAACATTTATTATTTATTTCAAGATTAATTTTATAATAGTGAATTCAATTATTTTTTTTCAACTTTTTTTATAATATGGAAAATTTAATGAAAAAAGATTTATATTTGATTTTCAGTAATGTGAGAATTAGCTAATGGTGAATTTGACAGTAAAATTTTATGAATTTTTATAATAAATTCATAATTTAGAATATTATTAAGGTTGTGTTCTACTTTATAAATTGATAATTTTTATAAAGAGCACAGTAATTAAAATAATTCAAAATAATACAAAATAATACTTCCTATTAAATATATATCTTAAAAAATATAATTTATACTTATTTAGAGATAGATTTATTGTTTCTAAGATGTTATGATCAGAGAAATATAACTTTTAATGATTTCTTTAATAACACGAAAGAGTAAACTGAATAAATAAATAGACTCTATTTATTGACTCTATTTATTATAGAAACAAAGATGACGCTGGCTATTTATCATCATATTTTGAATTTGAATTTTGTTATTAGATTTTTATCATTTAGAAAACTCAAACTGAATAAACTTTAAGCAAAAGTTATCGCTTCATTATTTTAATAAATATTTAGATTAATCTCATTTTTTAATCTTAATACGATAATAATTGAAGATAATTTTATGAATTATTTTATTTTATCTTCAAATATATACTAATCAGTGAATAAACTTTAAAATTCTAAAATTCTTCTCTTATCTTTTATTCAGCTTTTAGATTTATCGTAAAAACATTAAGAGTTAGATAATCTAAAACAGCAGTAGTGTCAGTTTACTATCAATAAATTTTAATTATTCATACCAGCAAATAGAAAAGGGATAAAATTATTATAATATGTAACTTAAATGACTAGTTTTTGAAAGTTTATTTCATTCTTTAAGGGAAAATAATACTAAACTTAAGTACAATAATATATCTTGAATTTTTAAAGATTACTTTAAGCCTTTTCAAATATAAATAGAATTATTTTACAATATTTAGGATCAGTTAAATTACTTTAAAATACATTAATAATATTTAATAAATATGTGAAGTCATAATTAACATATTTGATTTTTAGAAATACCATTCCGTAATAATATACCTTTTAATTTATTAAAATCTAATGAAATGAAAAATGATATTACTTCATTTATATATATTCATATCTGATGATTTATATAATTTTATTTGTTTTATTTTATTTAAATTATGAATTAGATTGATATTTAATATATTATTTAAAATACTTATAATAGACATAATTCAGAGTGAAATATCGATAAATTTAATTAATAAATATAATTTAAAAATGAATTTCTTTTTAAATCGAAATTATCTTTATTTCTATAGAATTTGAGATTAGATAAATAAGTAAATTTAAAATTGGAATAATTGTAAATAAATAATAATAAGAAAATGAATAATAATAATTCAAATCAATCTTTACCATAAAGTTTATCTACTTCTTTATGTGTTAATCCTTTTGTTTCTTTAACAAAGAAATAAAAGAATGTTGTTGAGAGAAAAGTTAAAATTAAGAAGATGATAAAAGATCCGCTCATAGCAAATGAATTTAGCATAAATGGAAATATATATAAGACAAGTAATTACCAAGCATAGAGAGTAACAAAACAGAAGTATGTTCCTTCAGTTGAGTTGATTTCAGGAATCATAGACTTAATAAATTAATACATTTATACCCATGTTATTGGTTCTAAAGTAAGTACATACTGAAATGAAAATAAACAGATAACGATAAATGAAATGATAACGATAGAAAATGTAGAAGAATAGCTAAGTCCAATTATAAGTATCTAACATAAAATTAGTACAATAAGTCCAAATAATAAGAGTTATCTTCTACCCCATCTTGAATAAACTTATTTAGATATAAAAGCAGGAGCAAATTAGACTATTCCAATAATTAAATTAAATATTGCATTTAATTTATTATCATTTTATGACATTTCTGAAAATATTTATGAACTATAAGAAAATAATGCAAATAAGCCAGACCAAGTATATACAAAAACTAAAACACAACCAATAAAAACTGTTGTTCTGTGTTTTTTAGTAAATATACTTAAAATGCTTTCTCTAGATTATAAATTCTTTAGAACTCCTTATTTATATTCTAGAAATATTTAATCAATAAATTAATGTTGATAAATTACTCTCAATATTTATAAGGCTTATTAATCTTTATTCCTTTTAATTAAGCAAATTGGACTATCCATTTTATATATAAATGTAAGAATAAATGACCTACAAAAATGTAGTAAAGAAGGAAAACCAAAAAGAATCTTCCAATAATTAGATTATGAATCATTTAATTAATCATTCATATATCCTAAACCTAATATAGTTATAAATAAATATCCTCCACCAACCAAAAACCCAGCCATTACTGAAAAAGGTTCATAATATTTTTAAGGACATAATTCCTTTAAATAAAGAGGCATTATTATTGTTGAAATACCTAAACAAACACCAAAACAAAAACGAAAAGCAAGTATTATTTCTCTATTTGGAATTATTTACAAAATACTCAATATACCAAATATATCTGAAATCAATAAAGATTAGTTTCTTGTTGTATATTTTATTAATGGTTAACTGATTACTGCTCCAAAAATTTATCCTATTGATAATACTGCACTAAACAATCCTTATTCTTCAATTTCAGAACCTTGCAACGTGCTTTTATTTAGATATCTAAATACATTTATTAAAATAATGGTGTGAACGATAATGATAAATAAGCTAACGAGTAGCCCAATGAAAAGTTTCCACTTTAAATTGCTACCATTACTACACTTAAATGAAATACAGACTTTATTTCATCTTCACTCTCTTCTTGCTATTACTATAGACCTATTGAAGTTGAAAGTTGATTTATTTAACTACATATTTTATTATTTATATCATACTTGCTTTCAGTATTCAGATTTTCATTCTCTTTTAATTGTGATGGAAAAACTTACATTAAAATAAATTAATTTTATTTTTATGAATAATATCTTTATTATTTAATTACTTTGCTAAAAATATGTCAATCTTAAATTAATTCAATAAACAAAAAATAATAAAGTTTTCATTTTTTAATTATGATTCCAAATGCCATTATTATTAAAATTATCTAATTGGTAGGATAATCAAAAAAATAAAAATAAAGAATTCATTATATTTCTTTAAAAATAAGCCTATATCATCGAATGATTTATAACCGATTTGAATAATAGTAAAATTTATGCTTTTTTTATTTGTATCTTTATAATTTAGTAAAAAATTGAATTATATATAAAATAAACTCCATTAAATTTGAAAATATGAATTATCAATTTAAAAGTTTAAATGATTCTTTGATCTAAAATACTATTATTGTATAATATTTTATTTTAAAGTAATGAAATTAATATATTATCAAATATAGTTTTTAAATATAAAATAAATGGTTATCATTATTTTGGCTGCATTACTTAGTCTAATAAATTGTATAAATAAAGGTGGATACAATTATCCCTTATTAATTGGATAGCCTAATACAATTATGTTATCTTAATATACTCCTAAATCAATTCAGGCTCCATATTATTAGATAGAAGATTCTAACGAATATAATTTAGAAATATAATAATCGATTCTTCCTCTATTTAATCAAGTGATAAATTCAAGTAAATATCTTATATGCCATCTTAGATGAAACATTCATATGTTTTAGTAATTATGTAATTGAAACTGGATTATATTCTAATCATTTTTGGGTTTTATCTAACTCTTAAATATTATCTTCAGGCATAATAGATAGAAATGGCAGCATTAATATTTAAAAAATTGATATCTAATTATACTAATTAGGTAAATAAATATTTATATCTATAGAATGTTATTAAATCAATTTAATTACTAATACGCAAGGAGTTTTAACATGTTTGAATTAAACTTTAATAACATTTTTAATAATCAATTCAACTAGTTTAGAATAAACTATATATATCACAAATTAATCTGTACCTTTCTCTTATTTTAATTTTTAGACTACTATCTAAACGATTAATTATGTTGTATATTATATTAATCTATCTTATATGACACTATTTAATGCAAGATTAGTTACATTTAAATATTATAGCAATAACTTAGAATTCTTAAATTCATAATCATTTTAAGGTACATATTACTAAATTCAAATCTTATAACAGTATTTATTTTTATTGGATTCAATATCAATCTAAATATTAGAGATTTAAAATTACTAAAAAGTAGGAGATATTTAAATTAGTAATTCTTAGGATAATCTTTAATATATGGCTGTTTGTTTAGTTAATGATAAATTGTTCCGTATTGCAATTCTAGAAACATTATAACTTTCAGTATATTATTTCAATCCTTAAAATTAAATATATAAGACAACATCAAATCCAATCATTATTAACCCTTACTAAAATTTTATTCGATTTGATATAACATCTAATAGTATATACATAATAACAAATAATTACATTATGAAAATAGATGGAGAATTGGAACTCAACCCTTAGAACTTTCTTCCATTATCATCTTGTTTTTTTTCATCTATTTAATTCGATAGATAGATTGTTATAACCTAATAATAGCTAAATGGGTAATCTATATTTTCAACTTTCCTCATTAATTCTCCTTAAATATAAATAACTATTAATTAGACATTAACAATAAAAAAAACAACTTAATCATATTTGTTAAAATTATTAATTAAATCTTAAACCTTATAGTAAATTAAGGATTAAATTTATATTTGGATTATGCCCCAAAACTTTACTAATTCATAATGTCCTATTCCTTATTAACATTTCACAGATAATATATATATCAATTTTCCAGATTAGTATAATATCCCTTTTACAGAAGTGTTTTAAGGTCCAAATCTCACTTAAAAAATTATATCATTAAGTCCTTCAATATTATATGTTGATACAACAAGCAATTACATTAAATTTTCAATGAAATCTAATCAAGTTATATTTTTAGAAATATGTTCTATTTTTGATGATAGTGCTATTTATTGTTCATAGTTCAAAAATTAAACTATTGAAATTTCTTATTGGAATCCTTATTTTTTTGATTAAAATATTTAAATATCTTCAAACTCAACATTAAAATCTTGTTAATGTTTTATTTCTAAAGAAAATATAAATGTTTTGATTCAGTTAAATAATATCATTTATATTTAAAAATTTAATTTCTAAAGTTAGCCTTAGAATTTACTTGAATTTGCAATGCCAATTTAAATACTAAGCTCAACTATATTAAAATAAGTTTTATTTATAATAACTGTTGATGGAAATCTTATGGCCTTTACACTATAAAATAATTAAACAAGTATTTTTACTGTTTCTAATTATTCATTTAATTATATATATACTAATTTAAAAAGTTATCCAAACTTTTTGTTTATAGATAATAAGGTTAATTTAATTATTATATCTTATAAAGGATAATAATCTTATGAAATATTAAATTACATTTAATATCCAGTTATAGATTATAATGTCATTTAAATAGGAATCTTGAAGACAGGAATTTATATGGCACTTTAAACTTAAGCATAAGATTAATTATATTTTTATCCCATTTAATATTTGTATTTTTCTAATTCAGAATAACTGTATTATCAAATAGATTTATTGGGATATAATTTTTAAAATGGTTAAATTATCAGTTCATATACTTCAATACATTTTTATTTAATATTATAAAATATTAATGGTATATTCTGTGCTTATTTTTCTGGTAGTTAATCTCCATTTAATTCATTTGTATATGCAAATATGATATTTTTTAATTCACAGAATATATCTATTCTATAAATGAGTGTAATATAAAAAGAAAATTTTCACATAGAATTGGTTTAATTATTTACTAATACATCTTAGGCAATAAATGGAACTGTTTTATATGGTGAATTTTAAATGGTTCCATATTATTAAGAAACATAATATTCATATGCGGTTTCTGTTTTTTATCAAGCAAACAATTCAAATTGCTCATTATAAATAAAATAATAAGTACATGTACTATTTGAAAGATCATTAATTACTCAAAAATAATTTAATTCAGAAACCCAAATATTGACAATTTAAAATTCAACAAAATTAACTTTAAATCCATCCAATTTATTTAATGGAAACATTTAGAGTTACGCAGTATATTGTAAAGAATGTAGATTGCTAAATTTTACATAGCCTATAGATTAATTATCCTCATTAACATTCAATTTTTCATTTTAAGCTGCTGTTAAACATGAAGAAGTTACTTATATTTAAAATAACTTTAGCTTATATTAAATTAATACATAATCTGGAATTTAAAATCAATTATATAGCTTTCCTTATTAAAATAATTATTGTTATGTTTTATTTATTGATAAATATTCTTAATTTCCAGTGTCTATATGTTCTAATACAACAACAACTATATATGCTTATAATAAAACATTAAATGGAGTTTTAAAATATAATTTTTCACAATGTTAGAACTTTTATAAAGCTAGTTATAATAATGGTGTTCTTTAAGTATTAACAGTTAATTATAAACTGATGCTTTAAACATATTCTTATTATGCCTTTTATTTTTGGATAAATAATAACACAATTAATTTGTCTTAAATATATAATGTTAATAATCTGTGTAATAATTCATATTTAGAATTTATCTATATCAATATGTCTATAAATTATTCAACTCAACCTTGTTAAATATTTGGATTTACATCCTTATAAAAAAGTGGCACATATAATCCTATATTTTATATACTTAAAACTTGTATTTCCTCTCAAATTATCTAGTATTTTGGATTTACATCAGATTTAGAAACTTAAATATTAAACATTTATTTTTAGACAATTACATGGAACTTATATTAAACTTTACCAATCTATTTTAAATTCATATCTGACATTTAATAATATTAAAATTCAAAAAGCATTACAGAAAATCTTTCAGAATTACAATTTATTGTACCTTTGACATATAGTATCGAAATTTATGGAATCTTATTTAATACAACTAAAGGAACAATATTGGGTTTCAGAAAAAAAACAAGTTTATTCCTTAGTTACAACTAAAATGTTAGTGCATATTTTATTTTTTAAGGAATTCAAGGATTGCTAATTAATTTAAATTTTGAAAATTAAACTTGTTTTACAATCAATGTATATCCTAATTGTGAAAAGTATGATATATATATTTAAATCTAGTAATAAAATAGATTAGCAACCTATACAAATAATCGGTCAGGAGTACCATATTTAATAAAATTATACTTAAAACCCATTTATTTTTGCAGTTGTCTCAGAAAATTAATTATTTCTAAATATAATTTAAAACAATTAAACCATAATGTATCCTGTTCAAAATGAGCTTAATATTGATGTTGATATATCTGGGATTGAACAAGCTTAGATATAAATAATTGCAAGTAATTAATAGAGCATATCAAAATAAACTTTATTTTTATTAAATGGAGCATACGATTTTGTTCCATACGAAAAATAAAAATAAGACATTGGCATATATATTGGACTTTTTGTATTTATTTTAATAATAATTATAATAATAACAGTCTTAATCTTACGTTATTATAAAGATAAAAAGAGCTCAATTACTAGTTCAAAATATTTTGAACTGGAAAATAAATAATGACTAAATTAATAAATGATCATTAATTGAAGAATTAAAATTTTCTCTTTTATTATTTAAATCTAATTCTAAAATGTTTAATTAATATTTATAGAGTTATTGTAATTCGTTTTTCAACTTTATTCTCGTTTCTAAACCATATTTTTATATATTAGTATTTTTAACAAATTAATATATCTCTAAATAAACTATGTTATATATTGAGATCATTTCATACTTCTTTAAGTATATTCTTTACTTCTTTTCTCTTAAATTTCCAAATATTTTGATTTATTAAGTTTTTCATCATTTTATTTTTTTATTAAAATGACATTAATGAATAAAACAGAAGAATAATAGAATGAAATTATATCATCCATTTTTATTTTGAATTTTTACAGAAAATAAATTAATAAATAAATAATTGTAAATTCATATTTTACAAAAAATTAAAAAAATTTTTTTTGAAAACTTTCTATTTTGATGAAAAAAATATTATTAAAAAAAATATTAACAATTTATATTTAAAAACTGAGAGGAATTTATCAATAATTATGAAATTATAATTTAAAATTGATATTTTCTGAAAAATTTATATATATAAATAATTTAGGATGGTATCTAAGAAAATTATGATATTTTTATTTTTTAAAATTAAGATAAAGCTGTATAATAAATTAAAAAAAAGAAAAAAATAAATTTTGGAGATATTTGTATAATATATATTTAATAATAAATTAAATAAATTTAAATTATAGAAAACACCAAAACTAATTGAAACTGCATCAAT